TGGCTTCTCTGATTAGCTCAGCCTATATTTAAAGGCATTTTACCATTGAATAAATGGACTTACAAATGAATAAATACTTACAAATACTTGGTGTTTGCCTTAAGATGATTCAGGATGTAAATCTGTTTAAAAACACTAAATCAGCTCTGACTTTTTAATTCTTTTTTTAATTTTTTTTTTTAAATTTTTGAGGTGTCTTGCGAAGCCTTTGGGGTCACAAATAAAATTCCTTAAGTAGAAATAAGTCAGCTCTGAGATGTATGGGAATACTGTCCTCAGTGAAGTGAATAACTGCTCCCCAGCACTAGCTCTTGTGTATTTCAGTCATATCTTTTAGATAGTATATTTGGAAATTCAAACAAAATTTCAAAGAACATATTTATATTACCAACTTTCCAGTTATCAGAAGATTTTATGTGGATGAATTCTTGAAAGACAAGACCAAGCATAGAAAATTTCTATTCCTGATGAAAATGCTACCAGATTATTGATTGTTCCTTTGATGAAGATGCAGAAACTTCTTCATTATGAAAGACAATACAATCTGTCACAGACACTGATCTGTTTCAGAGTTTTTAAAATTGCTTTCTAATTGAGTCAGTATTTTTGGTCCCTGAGTTCAATAAAGCACTTCAGAGTGTATCAACCTTTAAGTTTGCCAGAGTTTATGTGCCAGTTACTTGATCTTAATCATTAGGCATTAAATAAATGCTTAAGCCCTTAGGTGAACAGTGCTGTTTTTAAAGCACATCATGCTGAAAGAAGCCCAGATAATACAACTTTTTCATACTGGTGTTCTCCCTTTTTGCTCTTGCTGAAAAACTCCTCTGGTTTTCTTTTCTCAGCCTCTCCTCTTTTTAGATAGGCTGTATTCACCATGTCTAAGAGACCCTGAAAGGTTCTGAAGAACTCTGCACTAAAAGAGTCAGGGCTTCCACTGTCTTCCTTGAGTTACAGTGCTGTGACTTTTATTCCTTCCCAGCATTTTCACTGGTTTACAAACCATTTCCCATAAATAACTAAATCACACGTTGTTTTTATGCTGTATCTAATTAAATGTATACAGGTGCTTTTATCTATGCTACAAGTTGTAAATTCGGGTTTAGGAAAAGCTATTCAGAGCTGAACCTGCCAGGAATATATATTATGCAAAAAAATAATTGTGATGGTTGTTTTAGCATTAATTTTAGCCTAGTAATGCTGTGTATATGATACTGAAGAATAAATTCACTCTATTAAATCTCTAGCAAATTCTGGATTGGCAGCATTATTTGAAGTTTCTCAACATGTTATGGTTGAGATGGTTTAAATTTTCTTTAAATGAATTGTTTTGAGCAGAGTCTCTTGGAGAAACTGAAATGACAATTTTTTGAGACATTTTAGACATAGATAAATCTGCCAATTCCAAAGTAATTTTTGAGAGGGTCAGAGATTTGTGAAAGGCTGGTATGTTTTAGCTGAAAGTATAGAAGGGCAGCCCAGGTAGGCACTAACAGGTGCAACCTTCTTGAAGTCAGGAAAAATATTCTGATTTGAACCAGCTGAGATCTTGCTGTCTGTAGTTTGGCTAAGGAGACACAATTTGTTTTGGCCCAGAGATTCAATTCTGACTTTGAAATAACTTTTTTGGGGGAATAGAAGCCAGGTGTTATTTCCAAAAGAGCCTTGTAGTTCATCTGTTCTTAGTCATTCTGTATTTTAGAATAACTCTCTGCCGTTTTCTTGGATAGGTCTAATAATTAATACTCTGAAATAAGAGGTGATTTTTAATATTTCTGTTTCTTTAGCTGCATAGGTATGGTATGATCTATGCCTGTTTTTTATTTGTAGTCTGCTTCAGGAGAAGGGAGAAATGAAAGGAAGAATAAACATGGGGTAGGAACAACAAAATAAAAGAATATTTAAATGATTTCAAAAGAATTGTAAACTGTTGAATCATAAAGGATTGGCAAAAAAGCTCTCTCCTCATGAGGTCTGGCTAATATTAGGAATTATTGCCTCAAACGCTGCAGGTGTGGATCCATTTCTTTCATTTCTAGCAAATGGGGTTGCAACTGCCTTTGACAATGTAAAAGCTGAACAATCCCTGTGCCCCAGGGCAGACAATGATGTTGGTGAGATGCTGATTTTAGGATAGAAAATTACAATGGTTATATAGTAAACAGCACCTGGAAGTTTACTAATGATTTTTTCAATTAACAGCAGCACTATGGTCTGATTATTCATGCATGCTTTCTATGAAAGGAAAGAAAAGAGGCAGATGTTGAAAAGAATCATCGGCTGAGGGATATTTCTAATTTTTTCTGTAACTGGAGGTAGAGCCTTCTTCCTGTTATCACTACTTCTGATAATGAGATGCCAAAACTAGTGACTTAAAAGTTTTTAAAAAAAATTAAAAATGTTTGGCCTGTTCTACTTTCCCATTACCTCCAAATACTCTCATGAAATGTGCATGAAAATGGACAAGTATGTGTCTATGCGTGTTTGAATCCTTACACAGATTTTATTCTCTGCCTGTGGCTAGATATGTTGTTTTGGCATCCAAATAAGAAAAAATAAAAAAAAATCCCACCAAGAATTGCATGGCCATGCAGTTCTTCAGCTTTAACTACTGGATCATCTATGATAATAATGTCTGGATCTCTCCCCTTAGAAGTCCACCAGGTGTGTACCTGCCAGGTTAGTTATTTTAGAGTGCTGAGATTCAAAAACACTCCACCATCTGCAGCATAAATTTAAAAGTACAGTAAGGCGTACTGGTACCTCATATATTTTCTCTCTCTCTAGTCATCATTTATTTTCACAGCTGTTCTCGACCCACTGCCAAGCAAAGACCTCTTCAATTTCTTTTCTATCATATTGAGGCTTATTCAGTATCTTAACAAAGAATAGGTAAACCATAAAATACAATCACTCTTTTCCTTTAACCCTTTGTAAATTGCCACAACTAAATCTTTTGGAAGCCTCTGAAATGTTCTCATCTTTTCTCTGCAATAGGCTGTTACATATTATTCTTACAGGACTTCTAGCCTGATATTGCAAATCCAAGAAATTACAGCAAGACTAGGAAACTTTGGATGTTCATGCTGATATGTCAGGACTCAGGTCTTCTGGGGTTTGTTAGTCACTGATCTTGTTTGTAATGGCAGGTAAAACTATGCATATTTTTTTCTTATCTCTGGTCAGATAGCTCACATGAAAGTTGTAAAAGACCTTGCCATGGGGGGAAGTTGATAATATGGTGAATGTGAACTTCAGTAAATCCATTCTCTGAACCTGGACTCTATGTCCAGGGATGGACACACTAGGTGCTGCTGTCTGTGTAGACTCCTGGTTTGACATATATTAAAATTTCCCTGTTGCTTTTCTGGTTCATGTCCAGGAGAAGCAAGTGAGACCGAAGTTAATTTTTTTGGGACTAACTAAGTGATTGTTGGATATTTCAAACATCTTTCATATCTTCTGAAATATTTGCAATGCTAGGTTACTCCTCTTTTGTTGGACCTATCTAAAACCTAGCTGTCAGGAACAAGCCAAGGAACCACAGAAAAAACTACCAGAACAGGCTGACAAGCAGCAAGGCAGGATTGACCCCATCACCCTGCTGAAAGAGCAGCAGTGATGGAGTGTTGTCCTGCTGAGAGGGACAACATGACTGAGACATGCTGAGACATGCTGAGAGGGTCTGACATGACACAGGAGCCTCCTGTGTTCCGAATCCTTGGCTGGGCAGTTATCTGTAACTGCTGCAATTCAGCCCAGGGAAAGGGCTGGTCTCGTCCAGGTAACACTATGCTTTTTCTTCATGTTTTTGCATATAGATAGGAAAATATTTTTTAGATTTCTCTGTCTCCTTACTTTAATGATATTTTGGCTCCCTAACTACCCTGAACTCCCTTGGGCTTTTCATTTCTTTTTAAATTAGGACACTTCACATTTTCAGGTTTAACTTTCACATCTGTTTAGAAAATACAAATATACTTATGTAATGTAATCTATTGAAAATAGAAAGAACATATATAGAAAGTACTTACATAAGAAAATACTTCTGTATGTAATCCATTATCTATCTATCTAAACCTACTCAGGGACAATCTGAGAATACAAATGCATATCTGAGAGATATCATCTTGCAAGTGAGAATGTCTGACATTGTTAATGAAGTCAGCTGTAATAGTTCAGGTATGCAAATACTTGTCCAGTCATTGGACAGGTTCTTCCTCAGCTAAATGTGGGTGCTATTCTGGCCAAGAGCATCATGCTTTTATGAGATGAATATGATGCCCATTGTGTCTGTCCAAGTACACAATGCAGCCTGAAAAAAGGTTGGATAATATTAACACAGAGACACTGGGATATCCGGATACTTTATTTACATAATCCAGTTAAACTGGAGATATATACACATGTGTATATGGTATGTATAAAAACAGCAAATAACAAACTTTAATGGCTCAAAATTCAAGATGAAAAATGAAGTCACATAGATTTCAGGCAGTTGTCTGAGTTCAGTGAACTGCCTCCTGGACTTTGGACAAAGGACCTTGTTTGTGCAGGGGCAGATGTACAAGGGGAGAAGGTGGCTGAGGGAAGCTGATCTCCATCCCACTCCAGCCATCCACATGATGTGGCTGGCATCTTTTGTAGTCAGGTGAAGAGAAGGTAGCAATGTGACTGTGTGGTCTTTCCCATGTCCAGTTTTCACCACATCAAGTGCCAATTTTTTGCCAAACCAAGTACTTTCTCTGTCTTGTGAATCCCACTTGAATCCCTTGATTTTAAAGCCTTTGAAATGCTGAATTTTGAAAACAATTTGTAAATGCTCTTCACCAGGTAGGATAAGATATATAAGTGTTATCAAGAGTTCAGATGAAAGACAATAACTGAAAATATCAAATGAGACTTTTGAGAAAAATTATTCACTCTCTCAGGTTCCTATGTCAAACCAAGTGTTTAGCAAGACTACCACACACACGGCACAAATTATTTTGTATTCCTGATGAGCATTACTTAGAATTGTTCTGGTATGCCAAGAAGCTGTGGCTGACTTGGATTTTCTGACTTGTCATTGTTGTGTAGTTTTTTCTCAAGGGAAGATCCGGTAGTCAAATAAGCTAACCTGAAGGAAGAGAGTGTGCAATTTAAATAATGCAGAAATAGGATCCTCAGGATCAGATGGGCATGGAGAGACGTCAAAAATGCAGCAAGTTATTATGCTCTTATGCTACAGTGAATTAAGTCCATCAACATACTGATTCAGTTGTGATCTCCAGAGAGGGTATGAACCGTATGGCTTGTCCTGCTGGGGAAATCTCCCTTTATGGTTGATGCAGAAAATTCAGGGATGCTCTTTGGTTCAGTTTTGAGGATCAACTTGCAGTCTTGCCGCTGGTAAACAAAAAAAGGTATAAAAAAGGATATTTTAATAAGCTCAATTAAGCCTTTCTTATTGTGGTACATGTAGTATTTGGAGCACAAGAACACACTTTGCTACCTGCAATATTGGATTTTTGTTTCTTGATCAATCAAACCAGGACAGTGTTCTCTGGCTGTGAAAGCCGTGGACCTTTTGGGAACAGCTGTGCTTGTTGTTGACCTAGAATAAATGTAAGACCAATAGGAGTGCAAGTGCTTATGCTTAGATTTGCTGCCCTTGTGAATACTGTTGAAGTGTCTTTAAATTAGTTTGCTTCAGCTTGGGGCCTAATCCTGCCAAGCACGTGGATCACACTTTTTTAGCATGTGATCATGTGCAATCAGTGGGAATAAATCAAAAGAAACAGAATATGAGTGTGCTCAGTGCCTCTGAAAACTAGACTGTTTATTATTGCGTGGGGTTTTAGTCCAGTAGCATTTGAAAATTATGCTCACTTTTTCATTTCTTTAGATTTTTTTTTTTTTTTTTTTGCTGCTGTTTTGGAAACTGTTACATCGCAATAGGCAAACAGACTATAATATACCTGAACGATGGAAAGGGTACCAGTAATAGTCAAATTTTCACTTTTATACCCTAGAGAACTGGAGAGGTCAGAAAGATAGCATTTGGACTGACAAAACAGATGTTAAAATGTTGTACTAAATAGAAAAGACTCTTCTAACTATCTAAAACTGTAATTGCTAAACTATTTTAAGGTCTCTACTAACAAATGAAAATGATTAAAATTACTAGAATGATATATGTATGTTCTGCTTTTGTATTTCTGGTCATAATTATGTTCTCTCATGTTGACTCCTCTTTACTGTCTGGTTTAGTTCACCATTCATAGTCAGCCAGTATCCACTGACAGATTTACCCAGCAGAAAATATGAAATGGGAACAATGACAGCTGAGCCAAATACATTTAAAAAGAAATAGCAATTTCCCTATGTTCTGCACTACCTGACAAACAGCACTTTGCTAAGCTGTGGAGTGGGAGCAAACCATGGACAGCAAAGTACGAAAGAAGAAGGTGGTAGTGATGCTGTTGGTGTCACTCTTCTTCTGAGTCAGATTTGAACTTATGCCCCAGCCTTGTGTTAGGTAGTATAGTGCTGCTGAGATTGCTGTGTTTCAGCTGAGATATCAAATAAAGGTCCTGACCTTGTTCTCATTAGAGATCCCTGGGTACTTGTTCTCATTATAGATCTCCTGGCACTTTTCAAAAGGGAAAAAGTGTTAGCCCCAGTGTCTTGGCCAAATTCCAGCTTGGGTAATTATGTTCTGCCTACCTAAATTCCCTTGACTGTTTCAATTCAATGTTACTTCTAATTTCTTCCCTAAACCTGTGTATAATATTGTCATGTGTTGGTAGGTAACTTCCCCTAGCACCTTGGATTTGCTTGCATTTTTGAGGTAGAATTGCAATTTATATATAATGTTAATAATTTGTTAAGTCTATGAAGAACTGAAAGTCTTATCATTTAATGCAAAATTATTTTTAGAATGTAATCTAAGTCTTTCATGCCTTACAGTGATCACTTTCACACAATTATTTCGAAGAAAATACTTTTTCAGATGGATAGTTTGAAGGTATCTTTTGTACTATTTAAATCAATACTTTGATAAGCAAATGATGTAGTTGTGTATTGCATATCAACACCCACAGAATATTGGAAGACATGTTCAGCCTAAAAATCATTTGTTTTTTCATTTTTTATGAGCATGAAGAGGCAGAACATGGAAGATGGGTGTGGAGAGAAGGGTACTGACATAGTGTGCTTTGGATGACCTGTTTGCAGAAAAACATTCTACAGAAAGGACATGAGCCCATCAAATACAGAAGATGATAGTACCACCACTTAAAATCTTAATGGAAGATTCTCTGTAGTGGTATAGGCAGTGGAACAAGAACCCCCAGAGAATAAAAGAATTAACATTAACCAAATCTAAAAGGTAAAAGTCCCCTTTTAGGTTCCAGCCTTTTGAGATATTAGAGATAAACCCAAGCCAGACTACTGAATAAAGTGTTTACCTTCAAGTGCATGAGCAAACATGTTTTACAGCATTTGGAAGAACAGTTGTTTTGGCATGGCCTTTCATGGGCAGGAGTCACTCACAGTCAAATGTGCTCAGTGATCCATCTTGAGACATCACAATCCCCAAAGGCTGGAGGTTGGCACTTGGAGGAGTTGTGTCTGTGCCTGGCTGATGCAGTGACTCTCATCCTATACAGTCCAGTGTTCAGGTGTGTGTGATTTGTGCCACTGTTCAGGCCTGGTCAATTTTGGCTCCCTGTACACTCAATAGAAACAGATGGCTTCAGACAGACTACTGCAAATGCAGTTTGGGTCTCTGAGCAAAATCTTGTGACAAAGGACAGAAACCCAAGCATGTACATCTTTTCTGAATGGATGTTGAAATATATGTGCAGGAACTGTTAAGCTTTTGGGGGATTTCCTATGCTAGCTATTTTTTTGTTCAGTGAAGCAATTTTGTTTGTTTCTTGGTATTCCACTGTCATCACTGAGTTGCAATTCCTCTAAGAAAGGGATGCTGGAAGGATGAGAAAAAGGGACTGTGGACTTCATCCTGTATGGTGCTGCCCAATATTTTAGTTTTGTGAAAGCTGAGGCTGCTGAGTTGCTTGTTTGCAGAGATCTACTTATGACCAAATGTTGAAACCTTTGGTGATAAAAAATGGGTTTGTTTTTTTTTTAACCTGCTTTCAAGTGTGAAGGGTTTATTCAATACCTGGTTGCTTTTTTATTTGTGCTATTAACTTGTTTTGCTGATTTGTTTGCACAGATTACTCTAAACTACACATTATTTTCATGATAATTTGTATCTGTTTTCTAAAAAAGAAAACCCCACCAGAGCTGTTTCCATGAAAATAAATTAAAATTTAAAAGTCTGTAATTACAATATTAGCCTGTAATTATTTCTAAAAACTGCAATACAGTATAGAGCAATAAAATAGGAACAAGATTTGAACAACTCACGCACCAACTTTCTTGAGTAACACTAAGCAGTTAACTGCATACCAACAAGTAATCAGAAGTCCTGAGCCAAGACACGAGTCCCATTTGGACTGAAGTTCCTGCTCTGGTTAGTCCTGTTTTGTGAGATCACAGACTTTTTCTGAGAACCTTACAAATGAGCAGTCCCTGGGAGACTGGTGGGTGGGGTGAGATGTTCTTGGTCCAAAACTCTCTGGTGTTAGTATCTAAAAATGACCCCCATGGCAGGGACTGGAAGGACACAGCTGCACCCAGGGCTGCCCAGGGAAGCTCCTCTTTGCCTTGGGGCCTGCAGAGGTAGGGACAGCAGAGACAGCTCTTTCTTCTCTCTTTCAAGGGCACCCTGAAATCAATCCCACAAGGTGTGAAGAAGCCTGCCTAGGAACAAGATCCCACACCAGATATGGTGCCTGTGGTACCCACTACCACGTGACATTTATGGTGATGGGTGATACCCACTGGTGTAGAGGATGAACATGTGACAATCCTGATCTCATCCACCCTTAATGCACTCTTCTGAAGTATAATTGAAGACAATGGGAGCATAGGACTAATTTTATAACTATTTTAATCCTTACTTTTTCATACTTCCCTGCTTTTTGAAGTCCTACTCAGCATCTGATAGATCACAAAAGTCCTAAGTGATTTATTGAAAATCTGCTCTTAAGTAGAAAATAGCAAACAAAAAACAAGGCTAAAGGTGCAATACAAAGACTGATGCCTTGATTTCTGGCCAGCATTTCTTTCCCTTTTAAAAAGGGACATTATTTTTCTTGAAATGAGAGATTTTTGCTGAAATGAGAGATAGATCTACTCTATAGAGTTTTGCTAATTTTCCAGTAAATTTATTTGAAACAGAAATAGCACTATACACTCCTTTTAAAACTGGTAGCAGGGGAGAATTCTGTGGAGTTCAAATTTCAATTTCATGTATTAATTTTTTTCATTAATTTTATGAAGTTTGAACATTGTTCTTAATTAAAATTCCTTCTTAAAAATAAGTAAAGTATTTAAGAAACAAAGTGTATAAAGAACTTTTCCAGCAATTTTGTATTGTTACATGGCATAGGTGTGCTGGGGCTGCTGCTTGTATCCTGAATATGGCCTGGTTTTTGGATGGCTTTGTCAGTATGAGCTGAGACCTGTCCTATTCCATCTCAACAGCCAGCAGACCTGAGACATGTAGCTTCAAATCTTGAGTTTTAATTACAGGCACTGTTTTACATCTGCTTAACATAACCTAGAATAGAAAAATACATTTTAGAGCCATACAGTATACTACTTCAGATGCTCCTGTTCAATACTTAGGAAGGAATGAGTCAGGATTCTTCTACCAAACTAATTGCCGAGGAAAATACAATCTCTAGGACTAGTAAGAAAGCCTGCTCCATGGGGCAGTGGCATTTGATATCTGGGAAGAATATTCAGAAAATATTGTTGTTACCTTCTTTCCTGGGGAACCAAATCTGACCGTATCTAAAAGAGATGCAAATGGAACTTACAGGAAATATAAACCCTTTGGTTACCCATCAGCTGTTCTTATATGGAGGTCAAAGACCTGTTCTTAGTTCTCTATTGTGCAAGGACTCAACTTGTACAATGAGCCAAAATGAATGGTAATTGGTATCTCTTTCTTGCAGAGTGGTCCCAGCTCAGGATCCTGAGTGGAAATGTTACTGCCTAGTCAGCTTCCCCCATTCTGGTAATTCCATCTTTCGTGCTGAGATAAATTAATTTCCTGCAAAGTGGAAGACTTACATGGGAGTGTCCACCTGGAACACTAAACAAGAATGGTTAAAGTATACCAATTTCCAGGATCACAATCCCAGTTGGTTTATTTTCTGCACATACCAGTTGACTCTGCTTCCTTGAAAGAGTAATTGTTACAAAAGAAGTTATTACTTGAGAACAGAATATCTGAAAAAGGAAGATAATTGGCATAATTATAGTAGAATAGCATCCCTGGCCAGACCAGCCCTAAGTGTCACAGCAAGTTCTTTGATCTACTCCAAGAATGCTGTAGCCACAAGTTTGCTTTTCCCCTTGAGATGGAAAGTTGAATCACAGTCTGTCCCAAAATACTTTAATGAGCAAGAATTCCAAATTAAATTAAAAACCTTGTAAGGGCACTACACCCCAAAGATACCAGTCATCATAGACTTTTTTAACCAACTGTGCTTTATTTCAAATAATAACAGTAATTAAAAATACATATCTTAGAAGCACGAGCAGATTAGTTAAAGAGCATTTTAGGATTATAAAAGCACTTTCCGTTGTATCAACCAGATGTCATTTCAAATGCTACTGTTTGGATTAATTAACTGAGTTCAGGACACCACATTTATTAAACCTACTAGTTGTACTACCCATCCTCCTCCATATCCTTTTGTAATTTGTTATTAAAATCTTGGCCAATTAGAAAAACACAATCTAATAAGTAAAACAGCACATTGAACCAATCAACAATAATTACTCAGACTAAGAGCCATTTAAATGATTTATGGCAGAAATTAAATTATTTTAGAATGCTTCGTAAAGGTGTGGTTTGTTTCACACATACTCATATACAGTATGCAGAATGTATGGAGTCTCTGTTAAAATGATACCATTAATTGCCTCACAGAAATGTTGCAAATCATGTATTTTAGTAAAAAGATCATTATAACAGGATATAATTGATTTAAAGCAGTAGTCTGGTTAAGGAGTACACCTATAAAGTGCTTCAGACTGTAGTGCAAGAGCAATTCTATCTCTCTTCTAGAGATACTTAATTACTTTAATAAGTCTGTAAAACTATTTTATAAAGCAGTAGCTTTTAAATTGCTTTCACCCTAGCAGAGATTATGATCATTTTATGGAATATAATGCAAATACATTTCTCAGCATATTAATAAATCCTAACATTTGCTGCATTGAAGACTGGAGGAAAAGTGCTGTCTTTATATAAATATAGGTGGCCTTCCTTTAGATTTTCCTTTAGGCTAAAATAAATTAAGTGCAGATTAACTAGTGTAAGATAATGCTTCCTTATCTATACCAGGAACCACATTATGAATTTGACCACTTTAAACTGGGTCAGTTCACCTGGGTTGGTCTCCAGTTCTGGTCCATGACAGGTGCTTGGTTTAGAATTCAACAAATATTTTAATACTTTTGTCACCAGCTTTCCCACATGGTAAGTCATAATTTTCCTCCCTTTTCTGCTCTGGTAAATGCAAGACCTTCAATCAAAAGACCTGCCCATTAAAGAACCAAACCCAAAACCAATGACGAAGAAATTTTTCAGTACCTCAGTGACTGTCAGAAAAGAAAATTACTTTCAGAGATAGGATCTCATTATGTAGAATTGCTTAAATGTTAAAGTTAACATTTAGTAAAAGTTATCAGTGTGGCTACATAAAGCTTTTGTTCCTTTATTGTTACAAAGGATGACCTAGCAGGAGAAAGGCATTGGAAGTCTTTGCAGGCTTTTTAGCAATTTACAGTGAAGCTGGGTGAATAACTAGGAATGAAATAGGTGACAAATCCAAACCTGTTGTAAAAACCACCTGGAGTAATCATAGGTTTATGACAGATAACCGTTGTCATTCAGTTTAAAAATAAATTGTAAGTTCAAGAATGGAATTTTTATTTATATTTATATACTTAATTTTTATTGAACCTCTACTGCGTTCTTTAGTGCATTCACTTTATCTGTGACACCATGGCAAAGTTACGAGATAATGACAAAAGGTGATAGGATGCAGGACTGTTTTATTTCAGTGTTCATCAGCTTCCAGAAATTATATTATCTATTGAAAATGGTACTGTGAGGGGTGATGGCCCTGGAACACTTATTTTAGGGGCATGCCAATATAACATAGGTAAGTATGCTCCAGATGTGCTACAGAGATGGTGTGACACAACACCTGGTTTGTAAATAAACCAAAATACTATTCCAAGCTTATTCAAGTTTGCAAAAGATAGAGGGTTTTTTTGTTTTATAAATTTTTTTTGTTTTGTTAGTGGGTTTTTTTTGGTGGGTTTTTTGTAGGCTTTTCTGTTTGTTTGTTTGTCGTTTTTTTTAAATAAGAGTCTGTCTGGGAGGGGAAAAACAGTTTATCCAAACAAAACAAATGCATTTTTCCTATTTCTGCAGCCCCTGCCTATTTCAGGTTAAAGATGGGATTTATTTATTTATTTATTTAAATTAATGAAGCACACTTTATCTTTTTCCTCTTTGCAGCAATTCTTTCATGGAGTACTGATCAAGAAATATGATGCAGGTGATTG